CCCTAGTATGGGCCAACAGGCCCCCTGCAGTGTTCCTCTTTTCCTTTTTGTTCTTATAAGAGTTCATTCAGAAAGTATCAAAGTTTTAGCTTTGATCTTTGGGCCTTTTTACTGAGAAGAAAATCAAAGATTTTTAATTCCCTTTAGCATTTAAGTTTTTATGCCCATTATTGATGTAGTCCCCCTTTTAGATTAAAAATGATCACTGTCTGAACATTGTCTAATTTATGAAAAGCATTGTAAAAAAAGTTTCATTAATAATTTTCAGTTTTTAAAAGGTAGTGGGGTTTGGGTAGACAGCAACCACCCCGGGGGAAAATTTCTACCCTCCCGCCAATTTTTAAACCCGTGAAACCCAAAAACCCGTAAAATGTTTTGCATGTTTGGAGGTTGCTGGTTTCTTTTTCTGTCTCATAACACGCTAAGTAACAGGGTTTTCTTGCTTTCTCCTACTTAAAACTTTGGGGCACACTTTTACAAAACGCACATGCATATATTTTTATTTACATACATCTAGGTTTTTCTCCTTTTTTTAAATAGCCCTTTTTTCTTTTTTATTTCTTTCTATTTTTCCATGGGGAAGGAAAAAATCTTTCCCCCGTAAGCCATGGGCCGGCCCCTTTGGAAAGGGGACTAAAAACCCCGGGGGAATGGGTAGTAACCCCCCTTTTCCTGTAAAACAATTACTAAAAAAAAGGGAAAAAAAAAACTTTTTTTAAAACTGGGGTTGGGTTAAAAGTGCGTGGGTGGGCTGACAAAAAAACAGATATTGCTGTGTTATAAATGGGAAAAAAAGTTGGTGTCCTGGCCCCAAACGAAAAAAAAAGCGAAGGGGTGGGAGTTTTCCGTGGGGGGGGAAAAAATGGGGTTAAATCTGGGGTTCTGAGAGAGGGAGAGCAAAGGAAGGGGGGCCGTAAAGTTAAATGATCAGTTTTGGAAGGAGAAAAGGAAAAAAAAAAAAGTGTAAAAATTTAAGAAAATTTTGTGGAATTTAAAATAAAGGGTTGGGGTGCGAAAGGGGTCATAATAAACCGGGGATGCACCTGGAGAAGAAGGAATGCAGGGAAGAAGGGGGAGATTTTGGGGATGTTAAATGAATGTATAGGAGCCTTTGAAAACCCAAATGAGAGAGTAATTTTTGGTGGGGGTTGATTTCTAAAGTAGGAGAAACTTTTTGAGAGGGGTGGTAGGGAAGTTTGGGGTTTCCAGGGGTAAAGATTAAAAAAGGGGGAAACCCTTTTATTTAACTTTTATAGAAAGGGGGTTTAAATTATAGGGAATACATATTTTTAAAAAAAAGAGGAAAATAAAATATACCGGGAAAGATGTAGGGGGAAATGACAGTAGTTTGTTTTTTTTAATTTTATTGGGGAGATAAAAGACTGTGATTTGACTTCAGGATGACATTTTTATAGAGGGGGCCCCAGATATATCAATCACTTTCTAGTTGAGCTAAAAAGAGAGTTTTAAAAAGGGGATGGGAAACAAGGGGAATAGAAGCTCAGGGAAGAGAGAGGTTTAAAGGGTTTTTAAAAATAAAAAAAGGAGGGAGTTAGGGGAAGATATAAAAGTATTTTGGGGGATAGATGGGCTAAGAGATCAAAAGGGGGGGGTCGAAAAGGAAAGGGGTTTGGTTTTAAAAATGTAGTTGGGAAAAGTGTTCAGCAGAAGTTTTTGGTTTTTCAGGAAAGTGGGTGCAGGAGGGAAAGGGGGGATTTTGTTGGGAAAGATGATGTAAAGAGAGTAGTAAGGGAGGGAAAAAATTAGCAAAATGAAAAGTTTTTTAAAGTAGAAGTATGCAAGGAGGGAAAAGTATTTGGAGAAAAAGAGAGAAGTTTAAAAGAGTGGGTGAAGCCCAAAGTAAAAAAAAGAGCAAATGGGGAGAGTGGGTGAATGTTATCAACAAATTTTGTTTGGAAAAAAAAGAAAAAGTTTGGAGTTTAGATTTTAAAAAGTTAAAAACCTAGAGAACCCAAAAGGGGTTTGTCAGTTTTTAAAAAAAGGAGAGGAGAGTTATTAAATGGGGAGTAGAGGTTTTGGGAAGAGGGAAAGGAAAAATTTTGAGGAATTGTTAAATGTTGATGAAGATAGGGAAACTGTGATTTCGTGTATAGGGCAAAGGGGGTATAACATTTGAAAATTTAGGAAGAGCCAGTTTTTTGAGTGTGGGGGAAGTTCGGGAGGCGTTTTTAAAATGGGAAAAAAAGGGGAAGGCCCGCCCGGGGTTTATTTGGGGAAAAAAATAAAATGTTAAAAACAGGTGGGGGTATAAATTTTGGCTTTGGTTTTGGTTTCAATTATTTAATAAATGGATGGAAGAGGGTAAAGGGACTTAGGGATTGGCAGAGAGCAGCCCGGGTTTCCTTTTTATAAAGGCAAAAGGGGGTAAAAGAGAGTGCAAAAAAAATTTTAGGGGGATAAGTTGTTTGGGTACCTGGTAAAATGTTGGTAAGTTTTTTAAATTTAAAAAAATTTAAAAGTAAGACGGGGGAATAGGATAGCAAGGAAAAAGGAGGCTTTAGGAAAAAGGGAGGGGGGGTGTGGACCAAAGGGGTTTACAGTGAAACATATAAGTGAACAGTTTTAGATAAGGCAAAAAAGGTCTTTGTGGGGATTTATGGGGTTTTTGGGAAAAAAGGGTTGACCGGGTGGATTTGGGGGGCAATGTGGGGAGATTTTTGCAAGTGTATGGTTTTAGGAGGTAGGTTACTGGAAAACAAATGAAAATTTTTTTAAAGAGGGTAGTGGGGGCCCCAATTTTTAGAAAGTAAAGGGAAAAGGGAAATTTTTTCCCCGTAAAAGGGAGGCCTTAGCAAAGGGTGTGTGATGTCACCGTGGTTTTTTTAATATATTTTTAGAGGGGGTTTTTAAGAAAGTAAATTTCGGGGGGTCTTGGAAGGGCGTGGAGTTAAAAGAAAAAGAAACACACAAAAAAGTGGGGGTTGTCAAGCTGCTCTTTGCCGAAGAAATGTGCTCTTGGGGGGATTCTGAAGAGAAGTTTTTCAGAGATTGGGGGGATGAATTTGGGGAGGGGGTTCAAAAGAAGAAAATTAAAGGGGGAAAAACAGGAAAAAAGTTAAAAGGGTTTTAGGATAACAAAAAAAATTAGGTGATTTAAAGATTTAATTTCAGATTGGGGGAGAGAGTATGGAGGAGGGGAACGTATTTAGATATTTTGGGGGGTGGAGTGTCAGCGGGTGGGTTTTATGGGAAAAATGGGGGTTTAAAAAATAGAATTGTGAGGGAAAAAAAAAAAGTGAGTGGGGGCACTTAGGAGGCTGTGGAGGGCAAAAAACTTTGTCCCTTTTGGGGGCAAAGAGGGGAATGGGAGGAGTTTAGTTTTTTTCCAATTCTCTTATATGGGTGTGAAGCGTGGGTGTGGGAAAGTTGCCCGCGAGGAGAAGGGTGGAGGCAGTGGAATGTCCCTGTCTGAGGGGGGGAAAATGTGGGGGTAATATAAAAGAGAGGGAAATTTGTTGTTTGGAAGTTAGGAGGAGGTGCGGGATTACCAAAACTGTTGCCCGAGGGCTGAGGGGGGTTTGTGAGGGGTTGGACATGTAGAGAGAAGGGAGCGAAAAAAATGACTTAAAGGGTACAGTCGTAGTGGAAGGGAAAGGGCGGGGTAGGGGGGGGCCTGGGGAAGGGTTGGAGGGGGGGGGTAAAGGGGTTTTGTGTGCAGGGGCTTGGACTTCCACAGCGCGTGGGGTGTTTGATAGGAGTGAATGGAGAAAAAATGGTTTTTTAATTTTGAGTGCTTTTGGGATGTGAGCAAAGTAACTTTATAAAAGGGATTCGGGGGAAACCGGCAGGCCGGCTTGAGTCCTGGAGAGGGGGAAGTACAGTGCCTGCACTTAAGGAGGGGTTTTAATTTTGCATTTAAAACTGTAGTGAAAAGCCCTTCTGGCAAGACGTGATGGAGTGAAAGTGTGAAAGTTTTTTTTTTGGGCCACCCTGCCTTTGGGGGGAAACGGCCCGGGGTGAAAAAATAAAAAATAATTTTCGATTTTTTTGATTACTGGACTGGAAAAAAGATTTAAATTTAAACTGGCCTTTTATTTGTATAAAGTGCTGTTCTTATAAGCAAATGTCTAATTTTATTGAATAAATGCAATTTTAAAAGCAGTAATATATGGAAAATTCAAAAGCCAGTAAGATAAGACAGTATTTTATTTCCCAAAAGCTGGCATAGTCCTTAGTGAGTTTCTTTGGTGTACAAATTTAAAATTTGCCTTTCTTCACAAGTGATAATTATTTTTAATTCTTTTTTCATTTTATGATGTGCATTTAAAAGAAAAAACATTACAAATAAACTAGCCTAAAAAAAATTTTTAAAAATTACATATAAATTGTTTTTTCCATGAGAAATCGAAAAGAATTCTTTCCCCCGTAAACCCTGCATGTCGTAAGGGCAATTAAAAGTGGGAGCAAGAGGTTAGTAACCCTTTCCTGTACAAATTACTAAATTTTTAATTTCGATAATTTTTACTACACGTAACTAAAATTAAATTTTCTGTCTATTTTAATAAGTGTTCATCTTTTAGTATATTAAAAAACATGTTTTACCTTTCATGGGGGGAGTGCGTGTTTAGCACTTGTTTTTGAAGTGTATGCCCCGAAAGATTCAATAAAATGTAAAAACAAACTCAAAATTTTTTTGCATCCTTTGGGAGTGCTTACAGTGGTGGGGGTGGGCCCTATGTAACCTTTACCATATACATGCAACTGAATAGTTTTACTGATACTGTCTCTTATTTCAGGAACTGTTTGCCATAACTTAAAATTCTGATGGAATGATCTCAGTGAAGAAGTGGTGTAGGCAGGATCATACATAGCTTAAAGAGCAGGTATGATATGACCCAAGAGGCTAGGAGGGAGTGAATCTGGAAAACAGCAAGTTGAGAGGCAGGCCTGGAGCTAAGACTTGACCCCTGTAGCCATATAAAGGTAGGTACATGCACATACACAAAAGCACTCAGAGGTAAGTCAATCACAATTGATATAAGGCAAATACAAAGCTCACCTGGGAGGTTTCTCAGTCAGGACGGAGTAATAATCTGGAGGAAGACCATCAAGCTTTAATATCTGATCATAGGTTGGTGGTTTATCGTTGGGGTCTGGTAAAGTGGGCCCTCGGGAGGTCTGTCAGAAACAACAATGGTTAGTCTATAGCTAGCTTAATTTATATTTTTTCAATCCAATAAAATTCACTCAAAAAATACAAAATTATAGTTTACCTACAGCACTATGACAGTGAGAAGAGGCTGATATATTCTTCACAATAATACATATGAGGATATAATAGTGATATGCAGAGTATAATGAGTAGCAAAAAATGAGAATGTAAATAGAACACTTAAAAAGAGTACAGGCAGGGTAGACTGCTATTATTATTATTATTAGGGTACATTTACGAGGAAGTACTACAGAGAGATGGTGGCCAAGGAAGTGATGGCATCAAAGATACCATGACCATGATACTGAGTAATGGGATCCAGGGACACTGACATGTATACCCAGAGTATACCTGGAGGGGATTTCGAGAGTCAACACCCCCACAGCCTGGTCCATGACCAGGCTTCGTGGTGGATCATGGCCTGATCAACCAGGCTGTTACTGCTGGCTGCACATAAACTGATGTACAAGCCACAGCCTGGCTGGTCAGGTACTGAGTTTGGGTGCCTGTCCAGTTCCTCCTTGAAGACAGCCAGAGGTATATTGGTAATACGTACATAAATAACCCGCACATAGGAGAGAGGAGCTTACAACGACATTTCGGTCCGACTTGAACCATTTACGAAGTCCGACTTGGACAATTTACACTTAGTGTGACGTTGTAAATGGTCCAAACTGGACCAAAATGTCGTCACAAGCTCTTATCTCCTATGTGCAGGTTATCTGTGTATTGTGGAAAAAGACACTTATGTACAGTTCAGGGCATTTATTAAAGTTTTGCCACGAGTGGCTGGTCTAGTGGCTAACGCGACGGGCTGGAGTTTTGAGACTCTATGACCGCGGGTTCAATCCCGGCCGGGGGTATGGTTTTTTTGAGTGGCTTAAGGACTGAAGAAGCCACTCGTGGCGAAACTTTACCTTTAATAAAAGTCCTGAACTGTACATAAGTGTCTTTTTCCACATCTTGTCGGTATCACCATACCATTTCCTCTATCTGTGTATTGTTCCAGTTACGATATTGTGCCTTTTTGTTCTGTATATGTACTGGTAATCATAATTCCCCTTATGTATGCTGGGAGGCAGTTGAACAGTCTTGGGTACTCGTAGAGCCCCTGCTTTTCATTGGGAGGATGTTGCATCTCCTGCCAAGTCTTCTGCTTTTGTTGGGAGTGATTTTCGTGTGCAGATTTGGGATTAGTCCCTCTAGGATTTTCCAAGTGTATATATTATCATGTATCTTTCTCGTCTGCATTCCAGGAAGTACAAATCAAGGGATTTCAACCGTTCCCAGTAATTTAGGTGCTTTATTGTTCTTATACATGTCGTGAAAGTTCTCTTTATATTCTCAAGGTCTGCAATTTCACCTGCCTTGAAAGAGGCCGTTAGCATACAGCAATATTCCAGCCTAGAGAGAACAAGAGCTTGAGGAGAATCATCATGGGCTTGGCATCTCTAATTTTGAAGGTTCTCATTATCATCCTATCATTTTCCTAGAGATGTGGTAGATACACTGTTGTGATCTTTGAAAGTGAGATTCTCTGACAGGTAGATGACCCTAGTACAGCCTCTCCTCACTTAGCGACATACTCGTTTACCGACGACTCAGACTCACGACCTAAACAATGTATATTAGAGCTGATTTCCTCCATTGTGTGTATTACAATATACAGTACACTACTGTATAATCATTTAAAAATATACCAGAAATGTTTTAAATGGCACAAAGGTGACATTAAAACAATATCAAAGATGACTGACACAAACCCACTACCATTATAGTATGCTCCTTGCTTAGCGATGAATTCATTTACTGACTTGGTCTTAGGAACAGAACTCTGTCGTTAAGTGAGGAGAGGCTGTATGTACTATACATATACAGAGAAGTGGTGGTCTTGGTAATTTACTCAAGTAAAATTTGCTGATCCAGGTGTTGATAGCCTGATGACTCCCTAAACGGCTCATTAATAGTTAAGTTTATAAACTCTTGACTCAGTGTCACTCATGACAGATTGTGTGTGTGTACTCAACCTTGCCTGTTTGTGGTTGCAGGGGTCGAGTCATAGCTCCAGGCCCTGCCTCTTTGCTGTGTGTATGTCTCTGTGTTGGAGATTAAGACACTTGTGCAACATATGGGAATCTTTATTCAGGAAACGTTTCGCCACACAGTGGCGTCATCAGTCCATACACAGAAAAATCTTGAAGAATAGGAGGAGAATGAGGTAATCAGCCCCTCAACCTTGAGTCGATGTAGTCAGTCCATCAATCTTGAGTAGAATACGGCATATGAGCAGAGAAGGAGCTTATAAACCGTAGGTAGGAGAGGTGCAGCAGTCATAGGTGGTGTCACATTTGCCCAATGTGGAAGTAGGTCGTGCCCAAGGGTTAGGCAAGCGAAGAATTCCCAAGTATTAAGATCCCATGATGCTGCAGTGTCTGACAGTTGTGATAAATGGTTTGAAAAACAGACAAGTTGAAGATTAAGACGCTTATGCAACATATGGGAATCTTTATTCAGGAAACGTTTCGCCACACAGTGGCTTCATCAGTCCATACACAGGAAAAGCTTGAAGAATAGGAGGAGAATGAGGTAATCAGTCCCTCAACCTTGAGTCGATGTGGTCAGTCCATCAATCTTGAGTAGAATACGGCATATGAGCGGAGAAGGAGCTTATAAACCGTAGGTAGGAGAGGTGCAGCAGTTTATAAGCTCCTTCTCCGCTCATATGCCGTATTCTACTCAAGATTGATGGACTGACCACATCGACTCAAGGTTGAGGGACTGATTACCTCATTCTCCTCCTATTCTTCAAGCTTTTCCTGTGTATGGACTGATGAAGCCACTGTGTGGCAAAACGTTTCCTGAATAAAGATTCCCATATGTTGCATAAGTGTCTTAATCTTCAACTTGTCTGTTTTTCAAACCATTTATCACAACATGTCTCTGTGTACATATATTCCTCTATATGTGACTGCATGGGTTGAGTCATAGCTCCTGGTCCACCTCTTAACTTGCTACTTGCCAGATTAACTCTCCTAGCCTCATGGGCTCTATCGTACCTATTTCACAACTTCTTTGTCAAAGTCATTCCACTTTCTGACCACCCTGAAACTGGAGAAATACTTCCTAACATCTTTGTGACTCATCTATGTCTTTAGCTTCTGACTGTGCCTCCAAGTACCTGTTTCCCACCTCTCAAACAGCCTGTCCCTGTTTGCCCTATCAATTGCTCTGTCCTCCAGGGTCATTAGATTCAATTCCTTTAGCCTTTCCTTGTAGCTCATACCCCTTAACTCTGGAACTAGTCTCACTGCATACTTTGTACTTTCTCTGCTTCCTGCATACTGGTGCTGCATTCTCCAAGATGGGCCTAAAATGTTGTAAAAAGCACCCAGAATGACTTAAAATTCCTGAAGACCACTCTAAGATTTGCCAAGCAAATATTGGCTACAGAGGTTATCTGGTTGATGTAAGCCTCTAGTGACATGGTAGGGACTATGCTTACTCCCAGGTCCTTCTCTCTGAATGAGGTCTGCAGCTTCTGTCCCCTGAGTCTATACTCTGTATCCAGTCTTCTGGCCCTTTCCACAATCTTCATAACCCTACATTTGCTGGGGATGAATTCAATTAACCACTTATCTGACCAACCCTGCAGTTTATTGAAATCTTTTTGCAGCTTTTCCTAGCCCTCATTTGTTTGTATTCTCCTCATAAGTTTTACATAAACAGTGAATAGAGATACATCTGGCTCAATTCCATCTGGTATGTTGTTCATGTAAACCAGAAACCATTGGTCCTAATATGCCGCTTGTTACACTTTCCCATTCTGACGTCTCTTCCCAGACAATCATTCTGCTTCCTTTCCCTATGGTACTCCATAATACAACAGAGTACATTCCCAGTTATTCCTGCCTGCTTCTCAAGTTGCTGCCTGTCTCATGTGGGATACAGGATCTAATGCCTTCTTACAGTCTAAGAAAATGCAATCCACCCAGCCCTCTCCTTCTTCTCACTTCCATTACTTTTTCATACAATTCCAAAAGATTGTTAAGACAAGACTTGCCATCTCTGAGCCCATCCTGGTTGTTGTTTATGAAACCACTTCTCTCCAAGTGCTCTACTACACGTGTGTGGGGGAGGGGGAGGGGAGGAGTAAAGCACTTGAGTCTCTTTACCAGTGGCTAAATGAAGTGCCATGACAGTTACATGAAGTGTACAGTAAAATGATGTAAAGTGACTGATAAGTTAAAGTGTACATCGTATGTAAGTAGACTCCACAAATTATGTTGATCCACTCACATACTGAAGAATTAGACACATGTGTAACATCTGGGTATTGTTATTGTAGACATTCTGCCATCCAGTGGCTTTATCAATACAGGCAGTTAAGCACAGACATTAAAAAAAAAGTCAAGTACATTTCTTAAATCCAAGATTCCTTTTATCTTGTGAGTCCAGCATGGCACTCACTACATGTTATTTTACAATGGAAGTTTACTTTCATTTTATTTCAAATACTTCTGACAAGACTCAGGTTAGGGCTGTTTATTGGCCAACGAATAATATCAATACTGTTGTCTTGCAACCAGTTCTTGACCTGTTTTGACATGTTGCATGGGACACTGTCTTACATAAAGTGTGTTGTGCCATGACTTGTGGAATGTGAGAAAATATTCAATAAACACAACTACTTTATGTACAGATTCTGCATTTGAATTTGAACAATGTTGGTTTACACATGACTAACATCATTTACAAAGTTTGTATGTGTGTATAAAAGTAGTATATAGCTTTGAAAGTGTGCAATTATATTTAGGGCTGTGCCTTGTAATTTGTACAGTGTGTAATTCGTAACTATACAAGTTAAGTGATGCATGTAACTGAACTATGTTCAGTACTCTGCAAATCTGTCTGTCATGCCTGTGATAAAACTGAGTGTACATAATAAAACATTCACTTGAGCCTTCCATCCTTTGCTGACATTCATCAACACTCAACTACACAGCAAGAATAGGTTCCTCAAAAGTAGGTTCAAGCTCAAGAATAAGTTTCATGAAGTATTAATAAAGAGCACAGGAGATGATGTCAGTGCTAGTGCATGATGCTGCCTGGCCAGGCTGGCTGGAACACACCCTCACATACCACACTGGTTGCTCACCTTCTTTACTACCTCCCTCCCTCTCCTCCCCCAACCACCAAATATTATATCAAGTTTTCATCCCCTTCACAGCATAATTATACTGTCTTAATACACATTAATATCATCCTCTTTGTCTCTCAGGTCAGATCCATTATTATGAATGCTATACAGTTCGTCACATTGAGTCCCCACCCTGTGACTTGCCTTCCCAGTACATCATTAAATTCACAATGTTCATCTACTGGACTCCCACAAGCCTCATTAATGTTAAGAAAGATTTCTGGAGAGCTCAAAACCCTCGGTAAAGATACAAACTTCATTAGTGCACAAGAACACTGTAACAGATATGATCATGATGGGTTGTCTTCCGATTTACCTCTTTTCTTTAGCAACATTGGAGACATCAACAATGTGTTGTGTACGAATGGTATATAATACCGACAAGATGAGATTAAGACACATGTGCAACATCTGGGTATCTTTATTGTAGACGTTTCGCCATCCAGTGGCTTTATCAATACAAATTCTAGGACATAACTTGAAGACAGTAGAACTATGTACAGAAGATGAGGTAATCAGTCCCTCAACCTAGGAGTAGGTGCGAAGAGCACCATAGTCATGGAGATTCTCCACGACTATGGTGCTCTTCGCACCTACTCCTAGGTTGAGGGACTGATTACCTCATCTTCTGTACATAGTTCTACTGTCTTCAAGTTATGTCCTAGAATTTGTATTGATAAAGCCACTGGATGGCGAAACGTCTACAATAAAGATACCCAGATGTTGCACATGTGTCTTAATCTCAACAATGTGTTGGTAATCTGATGGAGTGTACTCACATGACGGAGGTGGTGGGAGGCGACAAGGAAGAGCACGGGAGAGCCTGGATGTTCACCCTCAGGTCTTGGAGGTTCCACTTTCTTCTCTTTCATCGTCATCCACCCGAGCCAGCTGTGAGGAAGACAGGTGGTGAAACTGAGATGTGAACGGCAGACAGGTTATGAAATTGAGATGTGGGAGGCAGACAGGTGATGAAATTAAGATGTGGGAGGCAGACAGGCAGTGCAACTGAGGTGTGGGAGGCAGACAGATGGTGTAACTGAGGTGTGGGAGGCAGACAGATGGTGTAACTGAGGTGTGGGAGGCAGACAGGTGGTGTGAGGTGAAGAACAATAATTAGAAATCAATGACAGAAGTGAGCGAACAACTACAAGAGGATTTAATATCTTGGTAGAACTCACAAAAATGGATTCAAATTGGACAAATTTAGATTTAATACAGATGTAGTTAGTTTCACATAATCCTTGATCATTTATATACAAGAACATATCTGGCATTAACACACCTTCTGGAATGACACTGACGTATCAAACACTGATATGTCTAGTCCTGTTTGTAAGATCCCAGTCATTATGTCTTCCCCTTGTTACCATTTCTCTTTATCTCACTTTCCCTTAGACCATCCCCTTCACTAGTCCCTCCCTCCCTAAATCAATCAATCGATCAATCAGTCTTCCTCTCTCTTTCTTTCTGTTCCTTAAGTCTTTATAATCTCTTCAAGGAAAAGGAGAGGTACCTTGATACTGGTGAAGGGATCTTGGGCCAAGAAATTGGAGCTACTTTCTCGGATCAAACATAATTACCTCCCATTCCCCAGATGCTGTATGATCCTTAAGGTTTAGTACCTCACCATGAATATAAAATAACAATTATAATAATAGCATAGATAATAATAATAATTGTGTTATGTATTTCCATTCTCCCCACTCGTTCTCTTACTTTATAAGAGTGCTATCAACCTTTCTTGTAACAGCTTAAATGAATATTAATGTTTCAATTTATTGATCAATCATGTGCATTTGTACCTTATATAAATGTGTACTGATTGTGGTTAATAAATATGTTGCTCTGCTAGGACTCGGTCGCTTGTGATTAACATATACTACATTAAAGACACTAGTTTGTAGTTGAATGCTGTCTCTCTCTTGTTGTATTATTGCTACTACACTCTTTACCAGTGTTCTGGAAAGAGCACTTATTGTCACGTTGTACACTTTTGTTAGTGTTTTAGAAAGCGCTAGTGGCTGTTCCACTCAGATAATATTGTTTAAGATGATCTTTCAGCGGCTTTACTGTTTTCCTTGTTGTGCAAAGAAGTCCAGTCTTCGTCTAGCCGCTCTCCCTCTCTCTCTGTTTCCCCTGATTCACTGTCTTGCGATCTTGGACAGTATGACATCTTGCTACCTTGGACGGTGTGACATCTTGTGATCTTGGACGGTGTGACATCTTGCGATCTTCGACAGTGTGACATTCTTAAATTGCTTCTAGTGTGGATTACCTGGAGGTTATTCCGGGGATCAACGCCCCCGCGGCCCGGTCCATGACCAGGCCTCCCGGTGGATCAGGGCCTGATCAACTAGGCTGTTACTGCTGGCCGCACGCAGTCCAACGTACGAGCCACAGCCCGGCTGATCCGGCACTGACTTTAGGTATCTGTCCAGCTCTCTCCTGAAGGCAGCCAGGGGCTTATTGGCAATTCCCCTAATGCTTGATGGGAGGCTGTTGAACAGTCTTGGGCCCCGGACACTTACGTTGTTTTCCCTTAGTGTACCAATGGCGCCCCTACTTTTAATTGGGGGCATTTTGCATCGCCTGCCCAGTCTTTTACTTTCGTAGGGAGTGATTTCTGTGTGCAGATTTGGGACCATTCCTTCCAGAATTTTCCAAGTGTAGATTTTGATATATCTCTCCCTCCTGCGTTCCAACGAGTACATGTCAAGTGCTTCCAAGCGTTCCCAGTAGTTAAGGTGCTTGACAGAACTTATACGTGCAGTAAAGGATCTCTGTACACTCTCTAGATCTGCAATTTCACCTCCCTACCTCACGCCCTCCTCTCCTGTCTCTCTCACATCCTCCTCCTAGTATCAAGTAACCTCCTAGCATTAAGGAACCTCGCAACATCAATTAACCTCAAAGAATCAAGGAACATCCCAGCATCAATTAACCTCACAGCATCAAGGAACCTCATAGCATCAAGGAATCCTCCCAGTAGCAAGGGACTTCTCTTGATGGGAGACATCAATTAATAAGAGCAGGAGGTAAGATGATATGTCGGAAAAAGAGAGTCGTGCATCATGTGTGAAGCATCACACAGTGAGTTAAGATGGTCCCTTATACCTGCCAACCAAGTGAAGGATGGGGGAGGGAAGGAAGTACCAAATGAGGGTAGAGGGTGGGAGGAGGAAGAGGCACCAAGTCATGGGGTAGGGGAGGGGAGGAGGCACCATGTGAGGGGAGGGGAAGAGGCACCTAGCGAGGGTAGGGGAGGGGAAGAGGCACCTAGTGAGGGTAGGGGAGGGGAAGAGGGGAGGGCGTGAAGATAAGATAAGATTTCGTTTGGATTTTTAACCCCGGAGGGTTAGCCACCCAGGATAACCCAAGAAAGTCAGTGCGTCATCGAGGACTGTCTAACTTATTTCCATTGGGGTCCTTAATCTTGTCCCCCAGGATGCGACCCACACCAGTCGACTAACACCCAGGTACCTATTTGCTGCTAGGTGAACAGGACAACAGGTGTAAGGAAACGGAAACGTGTCGAAATGTTTCCACCCGCCGGGAATCGAACCCGGGCCCTCCGTGTGTGAAGCGGGAGCTTTAGCCACCAGGCCACCGGGCCTGGATCTGACGCTAACAACCGTACTTTCAATTTCTCAACGGTATTACAGGAGGAATTTTGTGCTTCGTATATCCTCCTGTTATGTCTGTATACTTTGCTACAGTACTTTCATGTCAGTGATATTATTATTAATTAAAATGTTATTAATGTGATAGTATCAGTATAATTATAGCAGGAGTTTGTAAGTGTACAGTAGTTAACACTCAATAAAACACCGATCAACATGCACCGAGTGGTGTACATCTCTCAGTGGATATACTCAGTTAGAGCACATGCACTCTCCTGAGCACCACTTGGTGTTAGCTTGTAGTGGCTACAGGAAGTTACAACCCCCGTGGCTGAATAGTAGACCAGGTCTCCTGACTGCTAGATTACCGGGGGTCACTGCCCCTGGGGCTGGGTCCTAGACTAGGGCTCCTGGTTGCTGGACTACCGGGGGTCACTGCCCCTGGGGCTGGGTCCTAGACCAGACCTCCTGGTTGCTGGACTACCGAGGGTCACTGCCCCTAGGGCTGGGTCTTAGAGCAGGCCTCCTGGTTGCTGGACTACCGAGGGTCACTGCCCTTGGGGCTAGGTCCTAGACCAGGCCTCCTGGTTGCTGGATTACCGGGGGTCACTGCCTCTGGGGGATGGATCCTAGACCAGGCCTCCTGACTGCTGAACTACCGAGGGTCACTGCCCCTAGGGCTGGATCTTAGAGCAGGCCTCCTGGTTGCTGGACTACCGAGGGTCACTCCCACTGGGGCTGGGTCCTAGACCAGGCATCCTGGTTGCTGGACTACCCTCGGTAGTCCAGCAACCAGGACGTCCTCTCTGGTTGTAGTTCAGGACCCTTCTATAATGCTGTCCTCTCTGGTTGTAAGTCCAGCACCCTTCTATAATGTTCTCCTTTTGTGGTGTTAGCCAGCACCTTTAAATTTTTTGGTTTTTTGTCCGGACCCGGTTTTAAAAACCGAAGAAAACATAAAATATTTAGAAAAGTTTGGGCCCTGGGGACCTGAATTCTAAAACAAAGAAAGACATTAAACCCTTTAGGGGCGAGAGGGTTTTCCAAACCTTGCATAGAACAAGAAGGAGGAACATGTAAAACCCGGGTGGGGGGCCTTAAAAAATTCCATGATGGGCCAAAGGGGGTTGAATTTGTAATCCGTGTTGTTGGTTGGTGCTGTTAAAGTAATTTAGCCCTGTTTTAAAATTTTGGTTCCGGTTTTGGAAGTTGGGGGGTGTTAGTTTCTAGGCCCCTGGGTCTGGGTTGGGGGGGGGGGGGGGGGGGGGGGGGGGGGGGGGGGCAGCGTACCTTACATGTCTCGTTGAGGCTTTCCCCCGGGCTCATTCAGGCGGATGAAAAGATCTTCCCTGCCTCCCTACAATTTTCTTGGGCAAAACCCAAGGGGATAGGTAGACGCCTGCTGTAAAAGTTAGAGGTGTGGGGCTGCTTTAGTAGTGAGGTCTTTGAAGGGGAGGTTTATGGGGGAAAACGTTGAGGTTATCATAGAAAGTCCCCCGGCGGTATTGGGGCACATCGCCCATGGGAGTACTATGAACTTTTTTGGGGGCTGTTCCATGGGGGGTTTGTTAGGATAGCTTGTGTTGGTTGAAATCTGGATAAAAAAGATGGGAACTGAAGACGTTAAAGGTTGGTTAGTAAGTGCATTCTTTTTTTTTTAAAAAACAAGGTGGAGATGCAAAGGCTCTCAAAAGAAGCCAATGGGACTCCTCTCTTAGTGCGGGTATTTGGTGAATAAAAGTGTAAAAAGATCGTCCTTTTTGGTGGTTTTCTTACACTTTGAAGAGAAGTTTGTCACTGTGGGAACCCTCCCCCCCCCAGAGAACTCGGGGAAAAGGAAGTTTGATCATTTTCGAGTTCAAGTGAAAAACTTTATTGAGGGTTCAACGCTTTGATCTTTTTTGAGAGGGCCGGGATATTGAGACTTTTGGGATAGAAAACCAAATATCGTCAAGTATCTTAGCCAGGTAACGGTTTTGGGATGAGGTGTGAATTTTCTGTCTCAAATTTTTTTCCAAAAAGAGGTTTGGCAGCCGCACTGAGCGGGCTGCCCATTGCCACCCCCAAAGCATTTTTTGTAACAGTTGCCCTGATACTTAAGGAAGTTAAAATTTAAAACACATTTCCACTAGATTGATGAAATTAGAAGAGGAAAAGGGAGGTGTGGTTTTCAGTGAGCCTCTGCCCTCAGAATGTTGATTGCAGCGTCAGTAGGAACGTTGGTAAAGGGGCTGTGACATCAAAGGAAAGCCATGCTTTTTTTTTTGC